ATGAGAACCCCCATTCTACCCTCTTTCTTGTAAGTACTTACCATTATCTCCCATATACATTTTATCTGCCTTATCTGTCATCCCCCATTAGTGTAAATTCCCTGGGAGCCATGATTTCTCTCTGCTTTGATTATTGCTGTATCCGCAGTGTCAGTACATTGCCTGGTACATACTAGGTATTCAATATATTTTCTTTGAGTGAATAAACTCGCCTTCCCATCTTTGCCATCTCGATGATAAAAGTTTTTATTATTTGTTTTTGCCATTCAAGAACTTTATTATTAAGTGAAAGTAAAGTAAAAGCAAAGTGAGGCTTAGGCAGAAAGCACCCTCTAAAGAGTGGGCCATCTCCAGGCAGAGAATGACAAAGGAGACAACATTGTCTCCAAATTTATTACTGTTTGATGTTTACCAGGAGAATTGAGGACCACTTTCTGTACTCTTGGCCAAAATAGGTGTTCACTCCTCCTTTTTCATTCCTCCTTTATGTCAGGCGATGGAAGTGTTGACTTTTTTTGGTCCTGTCCAAAACTGTCCATGACAGAGTTTTAAAAGCTTTTTTGGGGGTGGGGGGCATACTGGGAATTGAACTCAGGAGCACTCAATCCCACTGGGATTGTATTTTTTATTTAGAGACAGGGTCTCACTGAGTTGCTTAGTGCCTCACTGTTGCTGAACCTGGCTTTGAACTTGCCATCCTTCTGTCTCAGCTTCCAGAGCAGCTGGGGTTACAGGTGTGCGCCACTGAGTCCTGCCAGAGTTTAAAAATTTGAAATCCTTTTTCTGGACAAAAACAATAGGAAGATTTTTATAATACTTTAATTCAGATACTTTCCCAGTTCATACACTATTTTTATCTACAAGTTACACATTATCATCTTTATTTTTCATCAATATTTATTTCAGTATATCTGTGAATATGCCAATATATTTTCTTAACAATCTTTTTTTGCCTCTTAGACCTTACATAGTCTATGACTTCACTTCTACCCAAAGAACAACATTAAGAATTTTATTTAGTAAGGAACTATTGATGGTAATCCTATTTTATTTACCTTTCAATGACTTCATTTTTTCTTCATTGTTAAAAAAAAAAAGTACAGTGCAGATATTATATGTTGTCTTCTGGCTTCCATTATTGTTATAGTGGGACGTCAAATCTTTCTTCTTTTTAAAATATATATATATATATATATATATATATATATATATATATTAGTTTTAGGTGGACACAATATCTTTATTTCATTTTTATGCCATGCTGAGGATCGAACCCAGTGCCTCATGTGTGCTATGCAGGTGCTCTATCACTCAGCCACAACCCCAGCCCACAAGGAATATATTTTTATCTCTAATGCTTTAAAATCTTTTCTTTATTTCTATAATACCTAGTTGCCCATGTCTTTTTAATTTTTTTAATTTTAAAAAATTTATATATGACAATGGAATGCATTACATTTTTTTTAGGTGTACATAGACACAACACAATGCCTTTATTTGTATGTGGTGCTGAGGATTGAACCCGGGTCCTGCCAGTGCTAGGCGAGTTCTTTACCGCTGAGCCATAATCCCAGCTCCACATTACAATTCTTATTACACATATAAAGCACAATGTTTCATATCTCTGGTTGTATACATAGTATATTCACACAAATTAATGTCTTCATACATGTACTTTGGATAATAATGTCCATCACATTCCACCATCATTTCTAACCCCATGCCCCTTCCCTTCCCCTCCAACCCCTCTGCCCTATCTAGAGTTCATCTATTCCTCCCGAGTTCCCCCTCCCTACTCCACTATGAGTCAGCCTCCTTATATCAGAGAAAACATGCGGCATTTGGTTTTGGGGATTGGCTAACTTCACTTAGCATTATGTTCTCTAATTCCATCTATTTACCTACAAATGCCATGATTTAATTTTCTTTTATTGCTGAGTAATATTCCATTGTGTGTATATGCCACATTTTTTTATCCATTCATCTATTGAAGAATATCTATGCAAAAAAATTCTGCAAAAATTCTGGAAAATTTTTACACATTAAAAAAGTTTTCTCTTTTCTCTTCAGTTAAATTTATAAGACCTTATGTTATCCTATGTTTTTGTTAATAGCTTTATATTGACCTCCATGCTACTTCCAGGGCTGAGGCAGGAAATGGCAAGTTCCCACCAAGCCTGGGCAACACAGTGAGATCCTGTCTCAAAATAAAAAACAAAGAAGGACTGAGAATGTTGCTCCATGGTAAAGTCACTGGGTTCAATCCCCAGTACAAAAAAAAAAAAAGTTCATATTTTTTATGCAATTTTTGTTGCCAGACAGCTCAACTCAAGGTTTTTAGGGTTCAGCAGACATGCTGGCTTATCTTCTAGAGCTCTTGAATTCACTTAGTATTTGACCTCTACAGATTCTGCCCTTCTTGTAAACTTACTGATATTTTAAAGGAGTCTTTAAAAATTAACTTTATTCTACATTTTGGGGGTAATTTTCAGGGGCAAGACTAATTTGAGGGCCTTCACTCCTGCCAGAAACAAAATTAACTTCTATTTCTCCTCATCGGTCTTCACTTTCACCACCATAACTCAAGACACTATCATCCCTCACTGCCAACTTCACTGTGTGCACTCCTGTGCTCCTACAGCTTTGAGGAATGAGATTTTGTACATTTGTCAGGACATGTTCCTTCCTTGCTTAAAACTTCCCCTTATGGGGAAGGAAAGTAGATTCATGGTTGCCTATGGTTGGGGCGGGTGGGGTCTTTGTGGGGTAGAAATGATGAGTGACTGCTAATGGGTGTGAGGTTTCTTTTGGAAGTGATGAAAATACTCATTGTGGTTATAGTTGCAAAGCTCTGTGAATATACTAAAAACCATTGAATCATACACTTTAAATAATCAATTGTATGACAAGTAAATTCTATTTTAATAAAGCTGTTATTTAAAAAAAAAAAAAACAACAATATCTTTCCAGCAGGCAGAGCACTTTCAGACTGAAAGACCTCTGAAAGTCTACATGAAAGCAATGGGAACACTAGCAAACATTGTTAAAATACATCTTTTTCAGAACTCTAGAAGTTAACAAAAGGCTTTCAACAATATTTATTTATGAAAGTGGCTGAATCTCTGTAAAAACATGGGATTTGTGACATTTTAAGTTGCCCTCATTGCAGCCTCACTATCACAGCAGCTGATGAGGAGGGACTGGACAGGGCAAAATGTTTTGGAGCCTCCAAGAAAACGAATACTGTGTGTCTGGTCTGGCAGCCCCAGAAAAAAGCCTTGTCAGGACTTGACTTTACTTGACTATATTATTAGGGGTGTCAGTGGAGCATCCCTGTAGGAATGCCCAGCAGGCAGGTAAGAAAATGGAACTGAAACCTGGAATATCATAGGGCTGCTATAGATTTTGGAGTCCATCATAAAAAAGTGCAAGGTAAGCTTGTAAGAAGAGATGACATTTACAAAGGTCTGAAGGAAGACTACTGTCAAGTCTTAGGAGATTCAACAAAATATTTTTAAAATACAATCAAATATCCCTTTCTGTTGTTTTCCCAAAGTCCCCATTCCATTCTTCAGCCTCATCTGCTGAATGCCTATGTACATTTGCCTTAGTGACAATCACAATCTCAGTGCCTTAAAGAATACCAGAAACATAGAAGGTACTTGGGAAATATATAACAAATGAACAAATTAAATGTCAGCCTTTCTTTTTGGTACTAAGCAACACCCAACATCTATAATTCCTTTCAAGAAACAGGATTTCCCTGAATTTCTACCTCTGGTGCATTCCTTTCAGGTTCTGTACTTAAAGTTATATTCATCACCTGCAATTTATTTCTAATGCTCTCACTTTCTCATTTATAGATCATTACAATATAAACAAAGTGATCCAAGGAAGACAAAATGGGCACCATATACTGAATACTGTCCAAAAAGTACACACTCCACTTGCAGCTGGAGTGAAGCCTCCTTGCAGTCTTCAGTTCCCGACAGGATGGTGAAATGTTTGGGTATATTCAGACTGAATGATTAAGGCAGCCTTACTGTCCTTCTCTGCCTGTGTAATTCCTTTTGAATGGCACTCATTTTCTTTGGCTCCAGGATGCAGAGAAGTATTTTGTCATCATGTTTTCTTCTCACATAGAAAATAAAAGCACAGCTCCTATTAAGATTGGAACAGTTGAGTTGTGCAGACATGAAAACAGAGAGAAGTGTTTCTTTTTTTATTTGGTAAATATTTTGCTTTTGAGGCATCAGTAACTAATCACAGCTGTTTCCTTTAGTTACAAATGGATTCAATCAGGTAAAATTTCAAATGAAACACACAAACCACCAGAGTCATTCCATTATACAGTACAATGGTAGCGTCGAGCCTTGTGAAATATATGTATTAAGTATGCATGTATTCATCAAATCAGACAAAGAAGCTAATGGGTCTCTGATTAGTGTTCTAACTCCATTATGGTGATACTTTCATCTCGCCCTGACGCATCTAAAACATGAGAAACAAAATGCTATTAAGTTTGATATACAATCTGTTATGTGTCATCATTGTGGTTAAATTCTGCACACTAAATTTGGGTGAGAATTTTTTTCTTGAAAATCAAAGGCAAAAAAGAGTTTCTGTTATGCTGAGGTACCTCTCAACTTTAACATTAATGATTTTTTTTTTAAGAAAATATTCTTTTAGCTGTAGATGGACACAATCCCTTTATTTTATTTGTTTATGTGTTGCTGGGATCGAACCCAGAGACTCATGTATGCTAGGGAAGTGCTCTACCATTGAGCCACAACCCCGGCCCCAACATTAATAATCCTTAACTATGTCAAAACTGAAACAAAAACCAAATCCCTGCTTATCCCCATGCAGGATTCATAAAAGATTTTAATTTCAAAGGGATTGTTATATGGATATTAATGAACAATGACTAGTTCAATAAAGAATCCGATATTCAGGGAACAGCAAGTGCATTTTTATTCAATATTTTAAAAATACAGACTTTATGGCAATTTAAAAATTTCTGGTATAATAATAAATTAATATTTTACACCAAGAAAACAATATGACCAAAAATTCATTCACAAATGCAAAGCAGTATGCTTTTGTTTTATATATATGTATATATTATACATACACATACATACATATAAATCAACTATATAACTTAGTTTTTTCTAAGTTTTCTCCTTTAAAAACAAGTTCTTTTAGAGAATCCAATTTAATCATCTTGTGCTTTTCTTCAGTGACTTTCTCCAAACAGCGGTAGAAGTACTCATTGATGGACAGAATGAAGTAAACTGTTCTTGGGGTTAAGGAAGCCTAACTTGTAAAGCACGCCCAGTTTGGAAAGTAACAATGTGATAGTAATTAACAACGGTACTGAACGTTATTAAAAATTGACAACTTTAGGTATTTTTGTTTTGGATTTCTTTGGTTTTGGCATATCCAAAATTTCTTCATAGTCTGCACTCATCCCTTTTGCCCAGCGACCAACTGTGACCATTCGATCTGTAAAAGAAAAGTCAGTATATAAGGAAAAGGCTAATCAAATGCATCCACTTAAATTGATATTGGGTTAGCAAAGGAACTAGTTTTGACGTGAATAATCACAAAGAGGGAAGACTTCATCACTCATAGAAAGTGAGCAATTCTGTAATTGATTATAACCCTTGATTTCAGAGTACCACAGGCAATTTCTCATCCCAATTAGGGAAATGCAGCAACTACTTTGCAATGCACAAACTGATGAGAAAGCTCTTTCATTCTTTCCCAGAGTTCATCATTATAGAGTCAATGAATTCCAAGAAGTCTGTAAACAGCAAGACTTATGAAGCATTGGTTTTAAATGCACAAGATTCCACCTGTGAAATTATACAACATCTGCTTGTCAGTCTTATCATTTGGGAAGTGGCAATCCTCCCAGGAGGGAGAATTCAAATTCCACTTCATCATTTCAATCTCACTCCCTAAACTACAGTAAAGACTATCTTATTCTAGACAAGACTGTAAACAAGAACTCTTGGGTCTCACATTTAAATGTTAGGGGCAAGAAATAAGAGGCAGATATACTGTACTACTGTGGCTTATTGAAATAAAAAAAAAAAAGAAATAAAAAGAAATGTGCTTTTTTTTCTCAAGAAGCACTGCTGGGCTATCCTACTGCCTTGCTTTCTTTAATACAAGATCATCATCATTATAATCCAGGCAAACTAATGGAATGATGATCCCCACCTCCTCAAATCAGCTATAGGTAGAGCCAACATTTATGAAGTTGTGATGACAGGCTAGTATTTCATCAGGGAGAAAATAACTAGCCAGCTGCTGTGTCATTAGCACATCTTTAATATTTTGGGCAGTTTTTGCAATCACTCTGAATCATTTAGGTACACACAAAGCAAAGCATGTATGAGTGCATCCCGTCCTAATGTTGAAAAATATTTTCATATTTTGATTTTTCTCTTAGTGAAAGGAGACTTTAGGCTCCATTATAATTAAATTCACCAGTTACCAAATATAAAAATTAATGAATAAAATGTTTTATAAACAAGTATCCTCTCAGGCTTATTGGTTAGTTTGTCCTCTGAGAACAGCAATAGGAAAACAGGTCATCTTAAGATCTGTAGAACTCCTATGAGCTACTAATATCAAAAGGCAGCAAAAATAGAGAAGTAATAAAACCCCCCTTATGAAATAGAGGCCCAGGGACTTACCTGAATTCTGACTTTCAGGGCAATCTTTCTTAAAGTGTTCCACAGAACCACAAAGTTTGCAACCACCACCTTTTGAAAGAACAAAGTTATTGAATACTATCCATACTTACACAGGGCTTTCAATATCTCAAAGCAGTTTCATATTTTATTTAATCTTCACATCCTTATCAGCTGTAAAAGTAGCCGGAGCCAGAAACCTATGTAGGTACAACCATTCCTAGTAATAATTCATTCTCCACTTCTCTTAACTTTCCAGAGTACTGTTTTATCTAACCACTCACTATCTCTTGAACTTGGCCTTCTAGGTACAAGTAGAGAAGGGAAGAGAGAGATGGTGGAAGGGTTTTGTCTAAGAACCATGGCACAGAAACTTGGATCTTGATCACAGTTAGACAATCAAAGGTCTGTGGAGTCTTGGACTTGTAACAAAAGTTGTGTACAAATGCATTTTTCTGAGGAGGATGTCCATAATTTTTATTGGATTCCCAAATGGTCAATGATCCCCCCCCAAAACAAATAAACAAACAAACAAACAATAAAACAAAGGTTATGAATCACTACTGTTCTATTCTACAGGTCAGAGAGGATTAAGCAGTTAGGAAAGGGATAAAATTAACTTTTGTTTTAGTACCTTCCATCGACAGGCCTCTTAACCCTAATAAAAATGCCCACCTGTTTATTTTAAGAGACATTTCAAGATTGTGAATTACAACACATATGTTTCTAAATGAATCTTTCACTTAACAGTAAAACACTATTGCTTAGTGTTCAGGCATTATGATAATCACGCTTATAATATTAAGCCACTTAGAAAAAGGATACAAATCTGGCTGAAATTTCAAGTTTATGTTATTTACTTGTCTTGCCTTTCGTTTTTAAGCCTTTTTATCATTTTATATGACACAGTGAAACAGAAGAGGCACTTGAAAATAATACAATTTAATCCTCATAATAGGTAAATGCCATACTTTACTAAATCTAAGATAATACTGATGTATCATTATTTCACATATCCCCCAGAAAAAAAAGTCAATTATGTGAGACCCAACAAAGATAAGATCTATTCTGATTTAGATTTGAGATGGTTAAAAAAAATGTGTGTCTTAGAATCAATAAAATTTGAAATATAGTTTTCTCATCTCCATTTTATAGGTGAGGAAACTGAGATGAAAGAAGTTTAGTAAGTTGATCAAAGTTTTGTAGCTCGTGAGTAAGGTTACAACCCAGGTCTGACTGACTCCAAAAGCTATGCTTTGGCACTGGATTTCTCCAGTTGGAACTCAGCACAAGACAAAAGAGGTGTCTATACCCTGATGGTGCCAGCTAAAACATGAACAGTTAACAATCTCCTCCTAATATGTTAGACATCATAGGCTTTATTGTAGGACCCTAAGACATTAGCTGAGCTTAAATTAAGTTACATGGTCCCATGCCAGATAAGGAAAAAATTCAGAAATAAAACTGAGTAGTGTATATCATCCTTTCTACCAAAATGAGATGCTAGGCTGAGATTAAATACATAACATTATTTTAAAAATCTTTTAGTTTTGATATGTAATCCCTCTGCTTCTGTTATGTTTAAAAGTACAAATGTATAACACACTCTCACAAAAAATGTTTGAAAAATACACCTTAGTTTTTTTCTGACTTATTAATATATCAAGACATATTGTACAAAAATTCCAGTACATTAAAAGCACTTGATAAAAAAAATTGTGAAATTCTTGAGATTTTACTATTTATTCAAAAATGCATGCACAAACTGATTAAGGGTGTAAATAAATGAAATGACAACTCTGCATGATGATTTGTCATGTTTGATAGTTTGACGTATGAGGGTAATAGTACTCACCATCAGCATAGAGTCCTTTGGGATTATCAGGACATGAACGGGACAGATGCCCCATTTCCCCACAAACAAAACATTTTGCAAAAGGAAATTCACCTGTAAGAATCACCAGTTTGTATTAAGTTGATTCTGTATACAGCAAGTTATATAATTCACATTACTTTAAAATAATTTCTTTCTACATAACTTGAAATTTTACAATTTCAAAATATTAAGTGGCATACTTATAACAAATTCTATCAACAACAAAAAACTCAGTTGGCTACTTATTGGTCACTCCCCTAACCCCAAAACCCAAGAAAGTAAAAGAGAACATACCAAGAGCTGGGTCTACTTTAGCTTTGCACTTGGTTATTTCATGCTCTGTGGACCCACATCGATAACATATTCCAGTGCCCATATCTTGATTTTCAAGGGCAGCTGGGCAATCTGCAACTCCATGGCCAGGTTTTCTACAGTGGAAACATACCTAGGAAAACAAAAAGTGAGTTTCCACATTACAAAACTACACTTGTTATCAATAACATCTTTAAAACATTTCTCATTTTCAAGCTATTTAGCTTTTTTAAGAATAAAAAAAAACCTCAATACATTATTTGTAGAATAACAAGTGTTTCTCACATTCCTGACTAGAGATGTCATTTCCATCAGAGGGTTTCAATGTTTTTGAAGATTTTCAATCTCCAAATCCATTAATCTCAGAAACAATGTTATATATGGCTTTAAACAGGCAACTGTGTAAATGAATTGAATAAATATGGACTATTCATTTTATTAATAGGAAATGTCTGCACCAAAAAATGGAGCTTTTTAATGGCTATAAAATTAGTACTCAAATTAATATTTATACTTTTAGGGTTCACATAACTGAATGAATTTGGGTCAAATGTTTCCAATTAAAGCATGATTCATTTCACATAATATGTAGCAAAAATTATATCTTCTTTTTTTGGTACCAGGAACTGAACTCAGGGGCACTTTACTACTGAGCCACTTCCCCGCCCTTTTTATTTTTTATTGTGAGACAGGTTCTCACTAAGTTGCTTAGGACCTTGCTAAGTTGCTTTAAGGCTGGCTTTGAACTTGTGATCCTACTGCCTCCTGAATCACTGGGATTACAGGTGTGTGCCATTACACCTAGAATCTTTATTGTTTTGAACTTTTCATAAACCTTAACATTCAGAAATAGAGTTTCATTTTTAGAAGATATGCACCATATATTGTAAAGGGATAATTATAATTATCTGGCTCTTACACAAAACCTAAACAATATACAGATCTTTACATACTACTCAAATGTGGTACATATTTTTCTGCCAAAATGAAACAGAACATCAATTATAATCAGAAATGAAAGATATCTGAATTATTTTATTTAAGTTGTAAAAATGTACATGTATTTTTTAGGTAACACATAGTCACTTAACTTTTTTTTTTAATTCTTTCATAAGCACAGGTTTTCTTTAAAAAAGGCAAATTCAATAAGAAAAATAAAACACATTTTGTACCTCTGTCCTTTCTTTTTTTTTCCTGTTTAATAACATTGGAGAAAAATGAGTCCCTTTAAAGTCTACAATAACTTTTACACTTAAAATGAACTGATCTAAATGAATAGACTATATTTATTCTACCACTGAAGGAAAAGTTACTGCTAAAAATTGGATCACCACAATGAGAAGCCTTGGTCTCTTTGTTTAATGTAGATTAGCTTATAGAGATTTGATAGATAAATCTTTGTATTTTAATCAATTTATTAGCCTTTAAGAACTGACACACAGTATGAGGAATTTTAAAAACAGCAAGAAAGTGAATTGACAGTAGGTAAAAACAAGCCATACACTATTTATTAAGCACTCCTTTTGTGAAAAACAACATCATTAGTCCTTAATTACAAGCATAAAGCTTTTCTTAAGAAGTATAACAGTAAATGTCTTCAAATGGTCTGCAATCCACCATACGGCCTATGTTGATTAAATTTCAAGTTAGACTAATTTTCTTGGCTTAAAGATATTTTAAAATAACTGATTTTACAAGTGAAACAAAATTTTATCCTAATCCAAATAAAAACGATTATTTTCTATCCAAATTTATCCAGAAGGGATACTTTACAAGTATGATCCCTAAATAGTCAATTTTAAATATAATAATACAGTCTGTACTGGTATAAACAGTGCTCTCCGTTTCACAATTCTAAGAAAAAAATCAAAGTCTAATAACTGGCAACATGTCCTGATTCTTTTTTAGCATCCTGGTAGAAGATGGGAAATTCACTTAGAGAATGGAAAAAATTATATTAAGTATTTCATTTCCTGTGTTTGACATAGTTTAAAATCTAGGACTAGGCACTGCAGAAATAAACCTGCTGCCCCCAGCATTATTCAGAATGTAGTATGGCTGAAATAGGGAGCAATTACTAGAAAATCTTAAGGAGTTTTAACTCTGCTGTTACTAGTGTGATTCATGCTAGATCTCTTTTTCTTGTGTCTTGAATTTTTATGGATAAAGATAAAAGAACATCCATCCTTTCCAAGTAATGGGAACTACACACATTTAACCTGTGGTACCTAATCTTCATTTTTTAAAATATCGATTTGAAAAAGGGCTATTGGAAGACAGGGTCAAGAACCTAAGTTTTAAAGTCTGGGATTGAATTTCACATGATATTGGTTAATTGGCTTACAGCAAGTTATTTAACCTGCCTACAATTCAGTGTTTTGTACCCATAAAATGGGGATATTGCCATCATCTTTGTAGTGCTGTGATGACTAAGCAATGTATCGAGTGCCTAGCATATATGTGCTGAAGTACAAGACCTTAAAAAAGATGCTTTATGAATTTAGGACAAAAGCAATTAGACCCTTCTAAGATATGTGTATGTGTGAGTATATGAATGACAATTTCTAACTATATAAAGTAAATAACATGGAAGAAGTGATTATCTCACCATTGCATTTTTCTTTGCTGCTTGTCTTTTTAATCGTCTTCCTTCCCGTCGACTGTCTTTCTTTAAAGCAACTGCAATTTCTTCCCTTACTTCCTGGCTGTCCATTGCTATCATCTCCCCATTGTGAACCATCTGTGAGTTCTGTTTTAGGTATTCCATGAAACCATTCACATCTTCATTTAAGTATTCTTTCTTCTTTTTGTTCTTTTTATGTTTTGCTTGGGGTGCAACATTTTTAAGGGACAGTCTATTGACTTCAGGTTGTTTACGATTTTGGCTTGTTCCCTCCAAGGACCCCTTCTTCATGTCCTCCCATGATGTTGCAGGCAAGGGTCTCTTATTATGTGTGGTAGTAACTCGTGCCCACCTGGTCATGTTGCATCAGAGGTACCTTATCAGTCCATAAGATAAGCATGTCTGGTTAGTCATCAATTTAAAAAAAAAAAAACAACTAACAAGAGATGGTATATCAGTATCAAATATGCTCATATGTTAAACTTTTAATTATTAAAATACTTTTAATTGCATTTAGATATTTACATATATTTAATTTTATATGTTGTGTAGATATGTTACTAATATAAATCTGGTACTTGCCAGGGAAGCCATCACACTGGTCGAAATAAAAAGCATAAATACTTGCTTAAGACTGGAAAATAATTTGCTAAGAAATTATTTCATAAATTATAAACCACACAGTGATACAGTGAATGAACAAAGTTATTCCTCCCAAATCCTGGCTGTTTATTTTTCTAACTCCCAGTGCTACTTTCTCACAATCTTCTTGCTTAGTCTTCCAACACAACAGTTGGGCTAGCAGATTAAGAAGAATCCAGAAATCTTGTCCTTTAATGTGATTATCTTTATAACCCTTCTTGGCAGAGTTATAAATAAAACTGGTATACAAAAGTGTTTATAGTCACATGGTGATATCGAGTCTTCCACTCTAATTACTAATTTGAGTATCTGCAGCTTGCAGCCCAGAAGTTTTAAGTAATCTTCAATTAGTTCCTTTCAATTATGATTTAAAACATACAATATATTTAATACTAAAAAGTATATCTTGGTATTGTGCCCCAAAATATACTCTAATATTCAGAAACAGAGATTTCATTTTGATGCATACACATTTTAAAGGAGTAATTTCTTCTACAACAAATTATTTGGTTCCAACATAAAACGAAACAATGTTTCGGTTACTTTACATACTAAGTAACAATTTGGAAAAGTTTTTTCTCTGCGGTGAATGAGAACATCAACCACCATCAATGAATGATCAGATCTACTACTAGGTAAACCCTTTTAGGGCAGCATTCTGTGTGCCAATCAGCGTGAGGGCCTCGGCTCCCTAGTCTCAAACAGGCCACCAACAGGAGCCGAGGGGCCGACCCGGAGAACTGGTGGGCGACGCTACACACCACTTTACACGCGCTCCTGCCGAAGATTCTGCGCCTGGCAAGAGCGGCGGGAGCTGTTCCCCTGAGTACATGGGAAGAAGGCGCTCTGGGTATCAGGGGGTGAAGTGGGAGAGCCCGGCCTGGAGGGGTCCACGGCGGCCAGCGCCCCAACAGCTGAGACGATCCCTGGGCCGGCGCCCCGGCAGGCCACACATCTCTGCGGTTCCGCCCCCACTGGAAGCAGGGGGCTCTCAGGGATCCAGCAGCCAGTTCCTCCGCCCTCCCGTGTTTCCATATGGGTCTTGCCAGGTCCGGGGAAATCAACAGGAGGTTCCCTACGACATCCAGGGACTCGGGGATCTCATTCCCAGTATGCCACGCGCACTTTCTTACCTCGCGTGAATCCTCCAGAGCAGCCGAGTTAGCAAGCCAGAGAAGCCCGGCCCCACTATGGCAGCTGGGATATCGAGACCGGAATCGCGTACGTCTTGATAGAGCGTCACTTCCGGCGAGCCGTCTCCCGTCAGTAGGGAGAGGCGGCGTTGTGGGCATTTCAGATTCTTCTGAACGCGTAAATGAGAATAAGATTGTGGGTTTCCTGGTGTTTGAAGGGTGCTGCTCTGGACGCCGATGACCCAGATATGAAGAGTGCACAATCTTCAAATCTGTGAATTTACAACTTAGTAGGAAAACACTGGAGTGGGGAAGGAGATGCTCAAAAGTTCCTTGAGAAGGTGTCTTGAACTGGACTTCGAAAAATAACAAACATCTGACAAAATTGGGAGTGGGCGGGAGTTATAAACATTTCAGACAGAGGCCAGGTAAAGGTATTGACTCAGTGGGAGTAAGTCACTGTGATAAAAGTTAAAAACAACAACAGGCATTTGAGGGCTCTATTTGATGGGGGAGGTACCGTATGGTCCTGTTCAATGCTAGGTGAGCATTCAATTGAAATATTACACCTTGTGGTCAGGGAAGTCTAAGAGGTAAAACCTACTTTCCTCAACAACTCATTATTCCCTCCTGGATATCACCACCAGTTGTACTAGTGATATAATGGCATCACAGCCACACGGTTCACTCGGACCACTACTCCATCCCCACATCATTCTGCATTTATTTTACTTCTTAAATATTGGTCCACTTCCTCTCTCTCCGCCACTTTTTTTTTTTTTTAATTTAAATGTGGTACAGAAGATCTAACCCAGGGCTAGACAAGCGCTCTACCAATGAGCCACAACCCCAGCCCACTTTGTTTCTTTTTATCAATACTGTTACCTCCCGAGTTCCAGCTTACTTCTTGTCTCACCACCAGCAGTGCTTCTGGTCTGGGCGTTGGTTCTCCGTCAAATTCACTTTCTCTGCCTTTTTGAAGTGAAACTTTGAAAGTGTAAATCAGATTGCCAAATCAGATACATGCAATGTACTTTAAACCCATCCTTTTTCAATGTTCTTAGAATGAAGTTCAAACTTCTTAGCTGCCTACTTCACTAGCCTCACCTTGCAGTCTCTTCCTATACTAAACCAATTCCCTGTTGTGTACTCATGGCAGTCTAAACTTCCTGATGGCACTTTTCAAATTTTGAAATTGCATAATGAATTGTGTAATAAGTTGTTTACTGTATCCCCATTACCTGGTACATAGTTGGTGCTTGGTTTCTTACTGTATTTTTTAACCGAATGTATTTTTTAACTGAATAGTTACTTTGCAACATTAGAGAAAACTAGAAAGTGTCCCAGTTAAGAGGAAAGATTAAAGTCAGTACCACAGGAATAATAGGATTTAGCATAGAAAATTTCGTGAATATTCTAGAAAGTTTTAAAAGACAAAACAGTCCTCTAGCTCTTAAAAATAATGAGCTATACGAGATATATGATAGTGTTTCTCATAACAATGATCTTAACCAGCTGGCTTCAGATTCTAATTACCAACCTTGGTGACTTTCACCTTAGGTTTTATCTTATGTAGGTGCCTGGTACTTGCACATAACATGCACCACTAGAGGGCGCATTCAACTAAAATTTGCCCTTTTAGTATGCTGAATTTTAGACTAGGTGGTTCATTCCTGTAAGTGAAGGAACATCTCAATTTATTTTTGTGGAGTTGCAATAAATAAAGATTGGTAGTTGAGTAAGTAGGTCATAGAGTAAATCTTGTGATTCAGGATAATGTTTTTATTACCACTAGAAAAAACTTTTACTGAATATTTTATAGGTGTCTGCACCAAGCTTCATGCTTTACTTTCCTTGCCTAATTAATCCACCTGATATCCTGTGACCTAGGCACTATTCTCCATTTTACAATGAGGAAACAAGTTCAGGGAGCTGAAGTATCTTATTCAAGTTCACATAGTTAGAAAGATGTAGAGACCAGGCTCTGAACCACAACTTGTATGCTCTACTGCCTGCCGCTTTTTTTTTCTTTTTGGTAGTCTTTTTATTTGTTATTTTTAGATATATGTAACAATAGAGTGTATTTTGATATGCATACATAGAGTATAACTTACTCTAATTAGGATTTCATTCTAGAAGTTGTACATGGTATGGAGTTGCACTGGTGGTATATTCATATATGAACATGGGAAAATTATATCTGATTCATTCTTCTGTCTTTCCTATTCCTGTCCCCCCTCCCTTCCCTTCATTCTCCTTTGTCTAATCCACAGAACTTCTATTCCTCCTCCCCCTTATATGTGTTAGCATCCACATGTCAGAGAAAACATTTGACCTTTTTTTTTGTGTGTGATTGGTTTCTTTCACTTAGTATGATAGTCTCCAGACCCATCCACTTACCAGCAAAAGTCATAAAAGTCATTCTTTTTTATGGTACTACCTAGTAATATTGCAGAGGATTGTTTGTCTACTTAAACCCACTTTAAAATTTACTGAATTATCTGTAATCCCAGCAGCTTGGGAGACTGAGGCAGGAGACTCAAAGCCAGCCTCAGTAACTTAGCAAGGCCCTAAGCAACTTAGCAAGATCCTGTCTCAAAATAAAATATAAAAAATGCTGGGGATGTAGCTCAGTGGTTAAGAACCCCTGGATTCAATCCCTGATATAAAAAAAGAAGAAAAAAATTACTGAGTTACCCTTGCCTGTGTGAGATTTTTTAAAAATGTAATTACTTTTATTGTTCAATTTCCCTTTTCATTTATTGAAATTCTATTCTTGTATTTTTATAATATAAGCAAGATAAATATTATGTGAGGAACCAAGGTTTTGATTATGAAAGCTTAGCACTTATTTTAAAATGTAAAGTGTGACATGTATACCAAAAAGATATAAAACATAATGAATTAGTTGTAAAACAAATGTTTGTGCATATATTACCCAGTTTGAGAAATTGATCATTGACAGATATTCTTTTAAAATATATTAATGTAACTTTTTAAATAGGCAATAATTGTTTATAATTCAAACAAAAAGTTTTTATGATGATGTAAACTTTCTACAAACCATCTCTTCTAATGATCCCATAAATTCTAGATAAAATGTGAAACAAACTACCTGTGGATCCAGATGAGTAAATTAATATGGATAACTGTGAAAAGAATTCATATATAGAGAATTTATTAGCACATGGCAGAGTGCCCCTTTGTGTGCACATCTAGCAGAGGGGCACTTGCTCTGAGAATGAGCCAAAGTCATGAAATTGTACAGCAGGAACAGAACCAGGGAAAGGAGCATCCAACAAACAGTCCTACCTGGAGATGGAGGTGGAGGGAACTTTTGGAGGGAAGAGAACCACAAACTGAATCCTCTACTTGTGTATATAAATCTCATGCAAGTCTCAGGGTAGCCCTCAAAGCACACCTGCATACCACAAACTCAGAGTCTTAAAGAAATGAAATGAACTCAGATTGAAATTGCCACTCACAAAAAGTGAGACAAAGCCTCTAACACAAGTCTAGGCAAGTTGATTGCCTGCTTTTTTTTTCCTTGAGGAATAAAACAGAACTCAAAGGACATACAAAATAACATCTACAATGTCCAGGATAAAAATCTAAAATGCCTTGATATGCAAAGAACTAGGAAAAATGTAAAACATTTTTATAAAAATGTAATAACTCTAGGATGAGTCAGATGTTGGAATTAATAAAGTCTTCAAAGAATCTATTATGACTATGCTTAAGGAAGTTAATGAGTCCTGTAAATGAATTAAAAACAGGATATCTCAGTATAAAATAGAAAATATAAGAACCAGCTAGAAATTTTAAAATTGAAATATTTTATACCTGAAATAAAAATTACTTTTGGGATAATAGAATGGAAGTCACAGAGGAATCAGTCAGCTTGAAGATAGCTTAAGAGCAATTATTCAGTATGATAAATTGAAAAAAATGAGAGCTTCAAAACTTATAGGATATTATCAAAACTCCTGATCTACCATGAGTCACAAAAGAATGTGGGGAAGAGAATTTATTTAACAAGTCCTCTTTTGATGTATATTTTTGTTATTTCCAATAACTTACTATTATAGATAATTCTGCAATGAAAAATTCACACATCATTTTGCACATATATGAATATATATGTGTATTACATATGTATAAATATAAAATCCTTAGAGCTGTAACAGTTTACCCATCCAGAAATAATGTGTGAGCACATTAGAATTCCATGCTCCACTTTTGGGTTGTTTTCAAACTGCTATAGGTGAAAGTGTTATTATGATTTATCTAAAGTGTCATTTCATTTATTATGGGGGGAGGGGATTGAATGTCTTTTTATGTTTAGAAGTCATTTGTATTTCTTTTTCTATACATCAACAGTTTATTTGCCAACTTCCTATTACCCCATAGTTGTATTTCTTATTGATTCCAGGCTTTCTGTATATACTTTTAAACAAGTACTCTGTTTAAATATTAGATTAGGAATAGAAGAAATACAGGAGCCTTTCTAGCACTTAGCACACCATATTATCTGCCTCCCTGGCTATACTGAAAGCATATGGATTAAAAGAATAAAAAAATGATATGGATCCAAAATTATATGAATCCTTTGTGTCCTATTCTGTCTTGCTTACATTAAAGGATGATATGTAGAAGATATTACATTTTATTAAATGAACATAAGAATAGATATAAGAAGGAAAGTAGATGCTTTATATTTGAAAAATGAGTGATTATTAAATTAGAATGTTTCAAAATCAGCTGGCTAACATGGTTTATAGTAACCACAAGTAAAATAAATAAAACAGAAAAGTGGGTAACCACTGGAATTCATAATAATTTTCCAAAGTTTGTGAAGTGACTCTTGTCTTTGGTAGTACTCAACACAGAATTGATTGTTATCTCTTGATGGATTTACCTGTTCAATAGACTTTCTGCCCCTGCAGTATAGTAGGATGCTGCAGATTTCAATAAATTCAAGCCTTAATTTTACAGGTAAGATGAAAAGAGGCAAAAATGGTATTAAAGAATGCCCTGG